TATATATATATATATATATATATATATATACGGTGAGATGACATGCTTCGGTCAGATGACACAAAGCTCACCACTGGTCACTGCAAAGCTCACCAATGGCCAATGTAAAGCTTACCAAAGTGTAAGGCAAAGCTCACCATATTTTTTCAACACTTCAAATTTTTTTCCAAAAAATAAAAAAGCTCACCACATTACACTGCAAAGCTCACCCATGGCCAATGTAAAGCTCACCTGGAAATAAGGCAAAGCTCACCACTTTGAACACCAAAACTCATCTTTTTTTATTTTGAAAATTAAAAAATTAATAAAAAATTAAATAGCAACTCCGGTCAACCACCGGTCAGTGGCGGCGGCGCGGCGGAGACCGGCGGCATTGAAGTGCTGGTAGAGGAGGCATTGAAGTGCAGGAAAAAAAAGCAACTTACATTACCTATGTTTATTACATTCTGTCTCAAATTAAATTAAGGAGTGTCTACAATCTGTATAATAAAGGAGTGTTTATAAACTACCTACATCTACAATATCATCAGATATTATAAATGGATTTTGAATTTTTTTTCCCGGAAAAAATTCCTAAATTTTCACAATATTAAACACAATGGGTGGCCAAAAATCCAAGATTTGTAAGTAAAAAAATCAAGAAGTATTCAAATTTAGTAAAATTTGAATTCGAAAATTGGAAACAAATTATACGCTGGAAATTTGGAAACAAACCGAGTTGGAAATTAAATTTGAAATTTGAAAAGAAACCTAAATAGGAAATTTGGAACCTAAATCCAAGTTTGGAAAAAACTTAATTTAAAATTTGGAAACAAACCTCGATATCTTCTCATCGCGGTTCTCTGATGCCGATTATATGGAATCTTTCCTTCCTTGAAGAATCTGCGATTGGTGTAGATGCGAAAAATCAGGCGATTTGGGCATGGCGAAGCAAAGAAGACGGAAAAAGCGTAGAAAGGAAGATTTGGTTTCTTTGGGGGATTTTGGGCGATTTCCAGGAAGAATCGTAGAAAGGACGCGTGGAGCATTACCTGTTTAAAAAATATTAGAATTCATATAATGCCACGTGTCAAAATACTAAACCATCAACTCTCAAATTTTATATTAAAAGATTTTACAAGACAAAAGAAGTGCATAAAGCTGGCTATATTTAGTTGTAGTATTTTTTTATTGTTATGGACTCGATTACAATGTAATATTTATTCATATTGTTTTCAATCGAATGACGCATAATGAGTCAATGTCTTCTGTCTCTGCTGAGGCTCGAACCTGGATGAACTTTTTCATGAATTTTGGGTAATGAGCTTTCTACCACTCAAGCTAAGAGAGAGGTTCTATTTAGATGTTGTGTTGTATGTAGTTTTGCTATACTTTAGATATGGATGACAATGTTACAAAAGTAATACTTCCTCCGTCTTGAAACGTTTTTTCCAGTTACTATTCATAAGGTCAAACTTTTATTACTTTCCTTACCTATTTTCGTTAGTTATTTGATAAATTAATATAGTCTTGTCACCTCTTGTTTTGTAGAACATTTGCTGTAGTTTTACATATGTAAACTTTATTTTTTAATTTTACACCTACAATCGAATAAATTGAATTGAAAATAAAGTCGGTCAAACCTCGTAAACAGAAATGGGAAGAATGTTTTAGGATGGAGGGAGTAATATTCACACCTTCCGTCCGAGTGTATTTGTTTAATTTAACTTTTTGGAGTCAAATTAGATGAACTTTGAGCTTCAATTAAATAAAAATCATAATGTATTTTAGAATAAATTTGAGTTTATTGGATATATCATATTAAGAAGTTTTAAAATTGTATTTCATTATATTAATATATCATACAAATTGAGAGTAATTATAGTTTAAAGTTTCTCCAGTGTGACTCGAAAAATGTCAAATTAGACAAATACACCAGGATGAAACTGGTATATGCTTTGTGCTAATCGTGTTAGAATTGTAGATGTGCTATGTCAGGGTAGAAGGTATACATAACCTCTAAACTTTTCTTATTGCATCATCTCTCATCTGTATCAGTGCCACATCAAATTCTATTAATTTCATACTTTTCATACTATAAGTGGCGGTGTACATTTGCCAATTCGCCTACTTACTACAATCATTTTTTAAAAATAACTTAAACTAATAATACTCCAATTAATTTTTTTTAAATGAATTAATTTTAAAGTCTAGAAACAATGAAAAAATAATTTAAAATATAGAAACCAATATAAAATTATTAAAATAAGATTTCACTCATTAAATTTTATTGATATTACAATAAAAATAGAAAATATCATAAAACATTACAATTATGTTATAGAATTATATTTTAATCTTAGAGCCTTTTAAAAAATACTACCGTATTTTTAGTGTACTTTGATATTTTAATAATTGACTATTACTAGTATAATTTTAGAGCCGTAACTATGATTTTAATCTTAGAGGCCATTATTTTTATTATTTTAATTTTAGAGTCATAATTATTATGATTATAAAGATTAAAGAGGCCAGAGAGAGGCAGCATGATCAGTATATACGTAGACTCACCGACTGTTTTTGGTACCAAAAGAGGAGAGATGATGTTACCCACTTTGCCAAAGTGCCACGTAAGTAAAATTTGGTACCAAATGGAGTTTGCTACATCTAATCAAACACGATTACGATCGAGATAAGAACAAATCCAAGCCGGAAAGAGTATTATTCTTAAAATTGTTGTTATTATTATTATTACGAAAACAAGAACAATAAAAACAATAATAATTATAGTAAGTATTATTTAATTATATATAACATTATTATTATTATATAATTGTATGTAATATGAGTAAGTGTAAAATGACACCAGTGCTACTGGCGCCATTTGCTTACACAGTTACACTAATTCATTTCAGACACCTACAATACCTCGTTGGTAAAAATGATAGTTCCTACTCCTTGTAATCCCTACTAAATCCCACCCTAGACCCACCCCTGCCTCCTCCGTATCCCGACATTATGCTGCTTGGGTGGGGCTGGGGGAAGTACTTTTGTGGCTTCCTAAATGTGGGAGGAGACTTGAGGCTAGGACTAGGTGTGTTAGGGCTGTCCTAGACGTTTCCAGATATATTGAGTATTGTCCAATGTTTTTAGATCGGTCCAGTCCGACGAGTCGAACCGCGAACCAGTGGCACCTCTGGTCTGAGTTTATGATAAGACCTGTTTTCTAATAAACTATTCAGAACCAGGGAATCAGGTCAACCTGGTCGGTCTGCGATTTTTCCCATTTACCTGTAGTTTTTTGTGTTAAAAATAAAAGAGGTATATTTCTCAAAAATCGATCCTACGCTTGACGGGTTTGCTGCTCCATTGTGCAGCCAAATAAGATTACTAGCTTCTTTGTTGTTCATCCCATTTTTTAATGGTATACATAGTATTTCCTTCGTCTAAAAATTATCTTTTCGTTGCGCGTTACCAATTTTTGACTAAATTTATTTTCAAGTCATTTTATATGAAAAATGGTGTAGAATTAAGAAAATAAAAAATGTATGTTTAAAAAGATATCAAAATATCTACAAAATTAGTGGTGACATGACTATACTATTTTGTCAAATGGGCAAAGAAAATAGACCAATAAAGTAAATAAAGTTGACTTTGTGAATACTGAACGAGAAGATAATTTTTGGACGAATGGAATATATACGATACATGGGCTTTGTGCATAATAGCGTTTGACAAAACTTTCAATTGTTTAAAAAAGAGAATCATGTTTTTGTAATGTTGACTTATTTTACGAACTTTAAAAATAATACAAAGAAAAAATATCAAAATTTATTTTTAATGTAAAATTAATATAAACAATTTACTTAACTTACTATAATTTTTTTAAAATAAAGTAAATACTAATTACGAAGTATAAATAAATAAATGAAAATTATATCTTAATTCTGTTTTTTTCTCATTTTAATCAACTACATAAAATGCTGAAATGTTAAAGAGTATATGAAAACAAATTAAGTGATATGAATAGTTACCGCTATGTTGACCAGGTCGTTGACATAGTTCAATCTGGTCCGACCGATTAACTCCAGACCCACTTGTTTCTCCGGTTTGATATCTGATCCAATTTTGAGAACATTGCGACGCATTAGTTTTTTCCACACTAGATGCTAGCAGGCTAGTAAAGGAAATTTTAATAAGGCTAAAAGTTTAAAATAGAATTTCACGTACAAGACATAGTGCTGAAGTCACCAGTGAGTTTCTGAACTTTGAAGAATGTCTGAGTTGTTCCAAGCTAAGCTTGACAAAAAGTTTTATTTCTGTTAGGTAGTTGGAGGAACAGAGACACGTGGTGAAGTTCAGAAATGGACAGTGGAAGATTGTCATGGGAAATCTTGTTATTAGATAATAATAGTAGTATTGTATTTATGGTAGCAATGTTATGTTAGTTAACTACTATATTGGAGGATTCCTAATTTTGTCAGGATCACCATATATATATATATATATATATATATATATATATATATATATATATATATATATATATATATATATATATATATATAGGTTCCGGTGAAAATGAAATCTTATGAAAGAAATGAGAAAGAATAAGCAACGTATGATTGGGAGTCACTGATCAATATTGCATCGCTTTTTAATGGGCAAGATAGTAATTTTCAATGCATTCATTAACTTCCTCTCACTTCTCTCGCAAATACTCTCCGTCAATCTCCGCACAATCAGTCCATTAATTACCTTCTTCATCTATATCATCTTTTCTCTTTCTAATTTTCTTCAATTCATTCTGTTTGTTCATCTATGGTGGAATTATACAAGAGAAATTGATGTTTGTGCCGGTAAATTCTTATCAAAATCTTATTAATTCATCATTAAATTCATCTTGTTATGTTCCATTAATTTTTATGACTTTTTTAGGGTGGTGGAAAATTTCTCTAAGGGATGGCAAAACAATCCCAACAATCTCAATTTCGGTTTTTTTCGTTGGTTTCCATTTGAGGTGTGGATAATTTTGTGGTTTTGTTATTCTACTTTGAGTTTGTAGAAAAGGAAGAAGATTGTTCAATTTTAGTTTAAGGTATAGTGGCGAACACAAGGTGTTTGATAAAATGCCCTAAAGAATCAAACACACGAAATTGGTGGTAAGGACAGCCCAATACAAACAAGGGATCTCTTAATACCTCACAAGAACCTCCATATGTATTTTCATTGACTCATTGTGGCGATGATCAGATTTTTCAAACAAGGAAATGTAGTTTTATGGTGAATTAATCATAATATATAATTGTAGAACGAATCATTTGGTTGCTCCTTTATGTTTTATAATGTTTGAGTTCTATTTATTTCCTTATGAATTTTTTACACTTGTTGAATCATAGTGCTTTATGTATTATAATACTTAAAATCTGTGCATATGCATACTCAAGGTAATGCATTGTTAGTTCATTGTGTTGCCAATATCGTGAGGCTTTGTTTTAGTAATTATGATTTTTTTAATGTTTTGGTGCACTAAAGCAGGCCTACTGCATTTTTTATGTATCTTTTGTCATCTAAAATTCTCAAATGCTCTCTACACATGTATGTTCTGATTGAGTTTAATTATTTATATGTTAGTTTTAGCTTTTGCAAACTGTACTTTCAGGTTTCTCCTAGTGCAAATTTAAGTTGGTTAGTCTAATTTATGCTTAGGTTAGTGTATTTTTGCCTATTCAGACGGGGTTGTGATTAATGTTAATACATACTAATCTTTATTTTATTGGTTAAGACTACTATATTCCCATATTGCATTATTTTAAATTGGTGTTGCTCGTTGTTGTTCACATACTGCAATTTAATTGATCACAACAGCTATTGCCAGGTTCTCATTTCATGAACTTAGTAAATTGGTTACATTCCATATTGAAACATATCAAGGCAGCGTTATAAAAATCTACATGCTCACACTCATACGTTAAATTTTTGGATGACCGCTTGACTGCTCTTGTGGTGATGTATTTGTTTGGGGTGTGCATTGATGCTTTAATTTTCTATTTTTTTTATTTTTTCTATTACCTAGTTGACATTTTTTCACATTGACAACATTGTGGCATAATTTGTTCATTATGGGTGCACATTGCTGCATTTTTTTAATTTTTTTTTACTTTTTGTTATTTTATATTGTGCACCATTAGAACTACGGTAATGCATTTTCACGAGAAGGCAATACATTCTCATAATAAAAGGTAAATGATAATGCGTTCTGTTATTGTACATTCTCATAATCAAAGTTGATGCATTTGATCTTGACATTCTTCTTACGCAAATATGATGCATGTATATAATTTGGATAGTGAATTTTTTTTACAAATGATGATGCTTTTAAAGTTTTCTATGTTAAATTTGAAAATGGGTTAGAAACACGTCGAATGGTGCAAATTTTAAAAGATTAAAATTTGTATTTAATGGGTTAGAAACACATTGAATGATGCAAGAGTTTAGTGCTAATACAAGTTTGTGTCGTGTTCAAAGAAAAGGTTTGACTGCAAGATGAGTGTCCCTTTAAAAAACAAATTATTGCCTGTTAGCTCAAATGGTAGAACGGTATATATTACGGATGTGGGTTCGAATCCCACATAGGCAAACTATTTTTCAAATATGTATTGCACTTGTTCTAAATATAGAGTACAATGCATTCTTAAACTTTCTCAATACATAAAAAATTACTCACGAGTCATTACTCACTAATTCAAAAGGATAAATCAAGAATGCATGCATAATTTAAAATATCTATTGCAACTATTTATTAGAATGGAATATTCAGATAAAGACCTTTCACGTGAGAATAAATATATTCATACAAAATGGTAAAGAAAGAAATGAAAATTAAAAAAATAGGAGATTAAATATAAAAAAATTAAAAAAATTGTAGACAACATATTACTTGTTTTAAAAAAAATAATGCAAATAAATAAATCTCTTGCTCCACGAAAATGCATTAAAATAAAGCAAAAAATAAAATATTCAATAGTAAAAAATTATTCATAATTTATTATTATCAAAGATAAATGGTTCACAAATTAAAAACATAGAGAAAGAAAGAAATCATTAATATGAAAACAACTATATGCACGGTTATAAAAGAAAGATTAAAATGGCAACTCCTCCCATAATGGCTAAAAAGGTGGAAGTTAATGCGCACAATTTTTTTCATGTGTACAATAATGCCCCTGTGCACCTATTCCATTCCTAAATTGATTTTACTTACCATATTAATTGGTGAATGGCGCTAGTTTTAGATCAAATTTGAGCCTTTAGATTTGCAATATCAACGTGTATCCTTTATTCTCATTTCTTTCACCAAGAGTTATTCTCACTGGAACCGGCCCCTACTATATATATGTGTGTGTGTGTGTGTGTGTGTGTGTGTATATAGACACACACACACACATATATGGTTAAATGATTTAAATAAATCTATGCATGCGAATACCAATTTAGTAATAACCCGGTTCGCTAACTCGTTGGTTCGGGTTACGTGGGTTGGGGTGTTACTTTTTGGTTGTCAGGTTCTACGCTTGGATAGAGCAGCAGAAATATAAAATTTTTGTCCAAACGTAGATCCACCCAAGACCTCTTATGATCATTATAAGTTATTGTTAAGGAATTATACCTTTTCTTGAGCAACAAGCAACATTGTGTGCGACTGATGGGATTGTCCAGGAGCTAGTCACAAACAGATCTGACCTCTAGTGCGTACACACGAACTTTGAATTGTGTTCTAGAGAAAAATTATGCTAATAATTTTCTCTAGAATATTTCTAAAATTTAAAATATTTGGAGTAAAGAATGAAAACAAATTTTCTTCGTCTTATTGTGATGGCCGAAATTCTCATGCTCCGAAAGGAGAAGCGATTATCTCTTATTTATAAGGAGTAGAATCACCCTTACTTTCCTAATCTTATTAGATATCTACCTTTTAACACTTAGGAAAGAAATCAAAATCTTCTCCTAATACAATTATGATTTTTGGCCCTATCATTTGGAAATTTCCAATTTATTTTGTCAACCTTAATTATCATATAATTAACACAAAATTTTATATATATATATATATATATAGACACACACACACACACATATAATTATATTTGACTTAATTATCATATAATTAAAATGTCTAAATATAAACATATATTATATTTATATATGTATGTGTATTCTAATATATTGTCTCCAACCCAATATACACATTTATATTAAATGTACATTTTACTACATAAAAATATTCTACACCATTAAATGTTGTAAGTGTGTGACCCTCTTCTAGGCTACCGATAAATTTGGCCATAGTATTAAAATATTACAAGTAATAAGCAGTATCTAAAAACACATTATCACCCCCAAGTTATGAATATGATTCTTTTGGAACAATTCATTCAACGACATATCTAATTGTATAACTATTATCCCTATATCACTAATATCTTGATTTAACACAAGGTATGAGGTGTGTCACCTTGTTTGAGTTAAATCGATGGTTTACTGATTCTTCGAATATCAACGACAATCACTCCGAGGGAGATAGTGTGTCTCCCTAGCAATTTAAATGAAATCAAATGGCGAATCAGAACGTCCCCCTTCAAGACGCGCCGAATAGTGGACCAGCTAGGATCCCGCAGGTGGATCACGCGCTCATGATGTAGCTTGTGCAATAAATGCTTATTATGAATTCAAACACCTTGGCTAGACCCGAGCCAAGGGTCACTTTCGAGAAGCTGAGGAAGAATGGATTCGAAGAGTTTCTCAGTGAAAACATTGGATGGAGCGCGTGCAACGTGTGTTCGAGAATTTGAGGGTCCTAGTCGGCGAGTGGGCTGGCCTTGCGGTGATGTTTTTGCAGAGCAACACATACGATGGTGGAAACATACCACTAAGAACATAGACTATCCTCCCCAGCTGATGTTGGAGTACTTTGATCGGGTGATCAAGGAGGAATATATTCCAGAGTCATTCGTGGAGGAGAAGTGTGAGGAATTTGTGCATCTTTAGATTGGGACCATGAGCCTGCCAGAATATCGTCAGGTGTTCGATCACTTAGCAATGTTTGCCTAGGATCTAGTGAACACCACGAAGAGACGCCGCGACAAATTTATTAAGGGCATGCGCATGAACCTCCAAGAGGGTATGGAAATGGGTTCGAGGAAAGATTTCGGATTCATGTGCGAGCAGGCTAGGGAGGTGGTTAGAACTAAAGAGGGAGCAAAGCAGGAAGTGGAGCAGAATCCGAAAAAGTCATCGATGAAGGTGACCGGTGCTGGTAAAGCTTATACAGGTATCGAAGAAGGCCAAATCAGTGCATGCTCACTCTACAGTGTCCAGCACCAAGACAAGACCGTCGAAGCTTCTGATGCGTGGTCCTATCGGAGAAACCATCCGGGTGAGTGTTGGAGGAGCTTGGGGTTGTGCATGGGATGTGGGCAGTATGGCCATTTCAGGAGGGATTGTCTTACGAACCCTGGTCCTCCATTTCCTACGACTGCAACATCTACCTAAACGATGGCTCCCCGACCTGCCCAAAGTCAGCGCTCAATGCCCGGATCACAGCCCCAGCGACCTCAGCAGCAGCAGCCGCCTTAGGCTTTACCACATCAGGAGGGATCCAGCGAGAACATACACTATGCAAGGTCGTGATAATCCTAATCCTGACATTATTCTTGGTATGTTTTCACTCTATGATTCGGATATGTTAACATTAATCGACCCTGGGTCTACGCTGTCATATATATGTGTTCCTTTTCTTGCTAATTCTGGTATCACAAGAAGTCGTCTAGAGAGTCCAATATTGGTGTCCAATCCCCTTGGGCACAACATGAGTCTGCATCACGTGTACCGACAAGGCCCTTTGAGCGCACATGGGAAGTCGTTTCTGTAGATCTAATCGAACTTCCATACAAAGAATTTGATATTATTCTTGGTATGGATTGACTTACCAAACACTAGGCGGTTGTGGATTGTAGTTCGAGGACCATTCGATTGACAGCCTTAGATGGTGACACAATTATGATAGATGGAGAGTTGTTTCCTAAAGCGTCAGAATTTATCTCTTATATGCAAGCTAAGAGACTGATTTGTAAGAAGTGTGAGGCATTTCTTTGCAATGTGAAGGATGTACAGAAGGAGTCCCCTAACCTGAAGGACATACCTACCGTATGTGATTTCCCTGATGTGTTTCCTGACGAGCTTCCAGGCCTGCCTCCTCCGAGGGAGGTAAAGTTCTCCATTGACTTAGTTCCCGACACGGAACTGATTTTGGCTACTCCATATTGCATGGCTTCGGCGGAGATGAAGGAGTTAAAGGCGCAGTTACAAGAGTTGCTGGATAGGGGATTCATCCACCCGAGCGTCTCTCCTTGGGGCGCAGCAATCTTTTTCGCACGGAAGAATGATGGATCCATGAGACTTTGCATTGACTACCGGCAGCTCAATAAGGCGACCGTTAAGAATCGTTATCCATTACCACATATTGATGATTTATTCGACCAGCTTCGTGCAGCTAGAGTGTTCTCAAAAATCAACTTGAGGTCTGGATACCATCAAATCCCAATTAAGGAGGACATACTGAAGACAGCTTTCAGGACTCGTTACAGACATTATGAGTTTATAGTAATGCCATTCGAACTCACTAATGCCCCATGCTATCTTTATGGATTTAATGAATAGTGTGTTTGTCCGTACTTGGACCAGTTCGTGATAGTCTTCATTGATGATATCCTCGTTTACTCAGAGAACGCTGAGGAGCACGCGCGCCACTTACAGAAGGTGTTGACGATTCTAAGGGAGCAGAAACTCTATGCAAAGTTGTCCAAGTGTGAGTTTTGGCTCGAGGAGGTGACTTTCTTAGGTCACATGATCTCGGCTGAAGGGGTGAAGGTTGACCCAAGCAAGATTTCTACCGTGGTTGACTAGAAGGTTCCCCGTAATGCTAGGGGGTGAGAAGTTTTCTCGGACTGGCACGATAATATCGTTGATTCGTGAAAGACTTCTCTACAAATGCTTCCCCATCGAATAAACTCCTATGGAAGGATGTGAACTTCGTGTGGACAAACACGTGCCATAATAGCTTTGATCGTTTGACTAAAGCTTCGGTGTTGATCCATCCGGAATCGGGTTGTGAGTACACGATCTACAGTGATGCATCTCTTTGTGGTTTGGGTTGTGTACTTATGCAGGAGGGCAAGGTGGTTGCCTACACCTCGAGGCAGCTGAAACCCCATGAGGTTAATTATCCGACACATGACCTAGAGCTAGCGGCCGTTGTTTTCGCCTTGAAGATTTGGCGACACTATGTATTCGGTGAGAAGATTCTTATCTTTACAGATCATAAGAGTTTGAGGTACTTGTTGACACAGAAGCATTTGAATATGAGACAGAGGCACTGGTTAGAGCTTTTGAAAGACTACGATTTCACCATCGAGTATCATTCGGGCAAGGCTAATGTGGTGGCCGATGCCTTGAGCCACAAGTTGGTAGCTGAACTCCATGTACAGTCAACGTTAGATATGGAAACTTGAGGGGAAAATTGAGTCCCCGATTCATTAGGCCCTATCCCGTCAATGCGAAAGTTAGTCCTGTAGCGTATCAATTGGAGCTACCACCTGAACTGAGCAAGATTCATAGCGCGTTCCACATATCTATGCTCTGACGTTGCCGATCATATCCGACCCATCAGTTACCTGAGGGAACAGTCACTTTAGACGAGAACTTGACTTATGAAGAGGAGCCTGTGCAGATTCTAGCTCGAGAAGTGAAGGAGTTGAGGAATAAGAGGGTGCCTTTGGTCAAAGTGCTATGGCGTAACCATGCTGTTGAAGATGCTACGTGGGAGACTGAGGAGTCTATGAGAGTTCAGTATCCTTATCTTTTCAGCGACAATGATTTAGGTAATTTCGAGGATGAAATTCTTTTAAGGGGAGAGAAATGTAACGCCCCAAAACCCGACTTAGTATTTTTAATTAATTTATATAATTAATTAGTTATTGAGTCGGTCAATATGAAGATTATTTTCTAATTTGCATTTCTAACATGAGAGTTTATCCTACATTGTAGAGCTCGATGTTTTGAATCCGACTGTGCAAACAAATTGTGAATTAGACTTACTAGACCCAAGATACGACTAGCGAATAAGGTAATTGGGCTTAAACTTATCCTAATTGGTTAGGAAGTGTAAATTCGACCCTAAAAACTATTTAGTTATATATAAAATATGCCAGGGAGTTACACTGAGCGCACGACCCTTTCTTTTCGTCTAATTGTTCGTTCGTTTCCCTGCTCTGTTCGCCGAACCGACACAACCATCACCGCTGATTTCTGCTGGTCTCACCGTGGGTTACTGTCGCCTGTCACTCACCGTCGTCCTCGTCTCCTTCCCTTCGTCGCGCGTCCAATCCGGCGTGACCAAGGGAGATTGCAGCTGTTGAAGACTTGTCGTGCGGTCCAAAACAAATTAAAAATTTATAAAATATCCTTAACTAACCCCCAAGATATAATCAAATAAAAACTATAGCTAGGGCAAGTAAGGGTCGATCCCACGGAGAAAGTTTGTACTTTTGAAATCAATATAGCATGCACACACATTGTCACTAAACAAAACAAACTAACTACTACACATATGATAAGACATATAAAACTTATAACTAAATAAATATAAAAACTTATAAATAAAACTTATATAAACAAAGAACTTATAATATAACTTAAACACAACACAAAGGGGGGGGGGTTTGAATAAAAAATAAATATTTTTTTGTTTTTTATTTTTCTTATTTTTTTGGTTTTTTTGATAAAATGAGGGAAAACAAACTCTAAAGATAATCAAGTCCTCCAACAAAGGTAACCCAAAAAACACCACCAAGAACCCAAAAGAAAATAAAAAAGAGAACAAACACAAGCCAAACATTACACGTATAATAGGCACTTAGACAATATATTACGTAACTTACGCACTTAAAAATAGAAAAAAATCAATCAAAGGCCGAGTCGATTCATTTCCTTAACCACGATATGGAGGATTGTCAACGCTCCACACGGCCTGGAGTCATGCAATTCAAAGGCCCGTTTTGAAATATACCTTAGAACCCGAAACTCTCTATGCAAGCATGAAAACATACTTCCACTATATAAAAAGTTTATAAAAGAGAGAATCTATTATGCATTCAACTCTCATACATAATCTATTCACAAACCGCCAATACCTTATGTATTTTAATAAACTTTTTCTCCTAATGATGAGCACATTTCACAGATTTCCATGAACTTCTCAAACCAATGACGTTTTTTCTATTCACGTAGATGAACACAACATATTTTCAATAAATTGAGAATTGTTTTTGAGCTTAAACAACCTCAAATTAATGAAAACAACAAAGAAACACATGAAAACATACACAACCACTTAATAATGAATTCTAAGAAAAATGAATCATCTTAGAAATATTTGCACTAAATAGCACTAAAACTTAAGTCATTTTCCTAAATAGCACTTAAACTGTTTTATTCCCTAAATAGCACTTAATAATGTCCAGTGATGGCGAATATTTGCTTGAATAATGACTAATGCATAATGACTAAAAGTGCTACATTGGGAAGAAAAACACATGTGATGCTATTTAGAGAAAGTCATTATGTTTTAGTGCTATTTAAGTAAATTCCTCATCATCTTATGGGGCTAAGAAATCCAAAATTCTTAAAATTAACGAACAGAAAGCACAACAAAGATTCACGTATGAATTCGGAGTTCATTTAACTACTTTATGGAGCTAAACTAGCTTCAACTAAAACCGAATTCCACATACCAACCTACTTATGAAATCGAATTATGCAATTCAACCAATTCAACAACAACTTGCTCAATAATTGAAGAAAAACTAGTTTGAATCAATTCTCATTCATAAGAGATTTAATATAAACATAAAAAATCCATTAAAGAACACCAACCATTTTTAGAATTTTGGAAAAAATTAACACAACAACAAACTATAATGTAAAAATTAAACTAAAAACAACACTTTACAAAGAATTGGAGAAGAAAAAGAAATTGACAAATATATGGTTACCAAATTTATTGAAGAAGATGAAGAAATTGAAGAATTGGAGCTTGAGGAGGACTGCCGCCGGAGCTACTGCCGCCGCCGTTCACGTCTGCCGGCTGTCCGCCGGCCGCCACTGCCATGGCAGCGGCTTGGCCGCTGCTGCTTTATCTCTCGTCGTTCCCCTCTTTTTCCCCTCCACCATTGCATCGATGTTGCTCTAATTTATAGCAAGGAGTAATTTACCGTTGAATTTTTGCCGGTTGAATGATTAATTATCGCGAACGTTGGAGCTTCTCTGACTTTGCCCATTCTTGCGATCGAAGAAGAAGTCACGGTCTCGCAAACTTTTTTTTTTCCTTTCTTACGTTGAATAATGGAGGAAGGAGAAGAGGAATGGGCTTCTTTTTTTGTTTATGTTGGGTTTGGGCTTTGACCCAAACTTAACCTCTTTTTCCAAACTTGAACTGCAATTTGGTCTTTTGCTACACTTTTCACCAAAAAAAAAGATATTTGATAACTTGGGTTAGGAAAAATAAACTAAAAATAATATGACGTAAAAAAATGATTAAAAACTACAATTTTTGAAAGAAAATAAAAAGATTGTAAAAATAAGAATTAAAATAAAACTAAGCTAAAAGACTAAAAATTAAAATCTAAAATTATTAAAAATGCCTAAAAAAGAATAAAAAGTATTAACCCAAACCCGACTTATCAGCAGCGGCGAGTTCCCTTTGATTCTAGTTGGATTCGTCGATTTTGGAGGTGAGTTGTGGTTCATATACCTTCCCTTAGCACTAATTCATAGTTTAGAACCTCCTTAGTATATATTCTTGCAATGGATATTGAAATAATCTATTTGTTGATGAACTATATATTGAGAAATAATACTTAGAAATAAAGCCACCTAGTATAATTAGATGAATCTGAACTGAATTGACTGATTGAATTGCAAATAGAATTTGGTTAGACGTTAGGCCATGCGGGTGTCGTCGCACGCATGGTGGTCATGGGTTAAAAACATACGTATGGGAGTCCATGAACTATCTTGGCATCGCAGAGACAGGGGATTCAACCCGCTCAAAGTGAATCTCCTTTGAGTTTCTGAGTTGGACCTTTTATAGCATCGGATGGGGTGCCACGACTCATAAGTACATGAAAAATCCTTATCCGTCATAGGTTAAGAGCCAAGAATAAAAGAACAAGTTGATTTTAGTATGATTAGGATATTATCAATGTTACACTTATTCACATGATATTGTTTGATTGCTTGCTGATGTTGTGCTTTTCTATGAGTTAATTCTGGCGTTGGGTATATTTTCACTCAGCTGAGCGTGTAGTAGTTGTTGTTTTGACTGCACGTAGTTAGGAACCAAAAATTGGATGAGCAACCTGGAGGGTAGCGATACGACGTAGCGTGGATGGCCCAGAGTTTTTCCTTATTATTTAAATTGTGTTTTTATTTGTCTCACTAAATGGACTGTCCGGACATTATTTGGTTTCCTTTAAGCTTCTGTGAAGTTTGAACTTATATTACTCCGATGAACTTTTGGATAAGCCTAAACTATTGTAGATGGATACTTAATTTGGTTAAATGATTTAAATAAATCTATGCATGCAAATACAAATTTAGTAATAAACCGGTTCGCTAACCCGTTAGTTCAGGTTATGCGGGTTGGGGTGTTACATGCCACAAGGTGCAAGAGGGACTGGAATCTGAGAAAAGCCAGCTGGTGAGGTTACTGAAAATGGCTAAAGCAGAGGCAACAGACTCTGAGGAGGAAGACACAGAGGGGGAAGAAGTCTTCAGTAGTGTCGAGGAAGAGGATGAAGAAGACAATGCAACAGAAGGAAGTAATGAAGATGATGAATAGCTTCATTTCTTAAAAACTATACAATTATTACTAAACTCTTGGTGTTTTGAGGTTGTTCTACCTCCTGGATTTGTGGATTCAAAACTCTATTCTTTGCTACTCTTTTTTCTTGAGATATTTTGGTTTTATGACAGTGACTCTATCATCTTATGTGAAAATTCTTTGAAGTTTTCTTTCCAAGAACTCTTGATTATTAGCTCAGAAGATTGATGCACATCTATGGCTACATATTTATATATGTATGCTATTTGGGTGAAACACCTTTGAGGTGTTGGTCTCAACGAGGTAATTCTTTTGTTTTCCTAATATGTTTTGGTAGACAGTGTGGAGTGGGAATGCTCATTATGATGACGTGATGAAGGTACAACTCTATGTTCGAGTTGCCTAGGATGACATTTCTTTTTTTCCTACTCTTGATCGTGTTGAATGTTACTCTTTTTACCCTCATTTTATTAATCCTAAGTTTTGGAATTTTTTATGCAAAAAAACAGGGAGATGTTCAACAAACGGCTGAGTAATAGTTAGTATTTGTGTTTTTGTCTAAAAAATTACCAAATGGGGAGATTTTAGTTTCTTGAGTTCTCTCTGTTCACAAAATAGTTGAGTTGTATAACTCCTGTTGAGTTATTTTTTGACAAAAACATTAGTATTTTGTGTTGCTTTCCTAGCTTGCCATTTGCTTTAACATAGAGCTGTAGCATCCTATCTTTCATCTTGATACAAGAAGTCTCAGCTCCTGTGAAATACTCCCTAGTGTAAATACTTTGTTGAGAGTCTGTCTATTTGCTACTTCAATCCTCTGATTTCCATAAATAGGAAGAACTCTATCCCTCAAGGAGTTCAGCCTCTCCGGTGATGCACGTGGAAGAAGAACTCTATCCCTCAACGAGTCTAGCATGTTCAGTGAAGACATGGAACTATTCTCTTGCTATTCTTGCGGAAAAAGGCTTCACGAAAGGAAGACATTGACAAAACCATTAGTATTTTTTGTTGCTTTTATAGCTTGCTGTTTGGTTTAACATAGAGCTATAACATCATGTTCGTCATCTTAATACAAGGAATGTCAGCTAATGTGGATTACTCCTCGGTGTAAATACTTTGTTGAGAGTCCTTCCATTTGCTACTTCAGTTCTATGATTTTGATCAACAAGAAGAACTCTATCCCTCGAGGAGTCCATCCTGTTCAGTGAAACATGTGGAAGAAGAAATTTATCCCTTAAGGAGTCCAGCCTATTTGGTGAAGCACGTGGAAGAAGAACTTTATCCCTCAAGGAGTCTAGCCTGTTCGGTGAAGCACATGGAACTATATTCTTGCTATTATTGTGGCAAAAGGCTTCACGAAAGGAAGACTTTGATTGGGACTCAACTAGGGTTATCTCCTTGTCTATATATTCTGATGACTTCATCGTATGGAGGTGTGAAGAAAAAAGCACAATCATTCCCTAAGAGAGAAAGGAAAGAGAAGTTTACACACTACACGAGTCATACAAGATCCATTTCATTCTAAGTGTGTGAGGCACTTGAAGCTGAAACTGATCTGTTGATCATGGTGACCTGCACACATATATGAGCCGTAGGTTCATATAGAAATCCAAAAGGTGCAACTTGAAACTCTCAAGATAGGCTGCTAGTATGTCCTCAAAGAAGATCTTAGAGAAGGTGTAATAAGCCAAGAAGTTGAACGCAAACCAAGTTTGTCTTTGCATCACTTGTAAGAGGTTTTCATTCAATACTTAGATAGAGTCTAATTTGTATTGGAAATGAAAACTCTACAGTGATCTAGTGAAGGGCTGTTATACGGACATGGGCCTCGTAGATGTAGGAGAAATTGCTCGGAACTGCGTAAACATTTTGTGTGTTGTTTACTGCTTTTCTTGTTTTTTATTGTGACACGTGTTATAGAAGTTGTTACAACACAGTCGGTGTCAGCTTCCTTATTAACCTGTGTTGTATCAAGTTGTGTGCCTTGACTTATTTTCTGTAGTAGTTGTTGGTTGGGTTTGATATACCAGTATATCTGGTTGTGTGATGGATAACCCCCTCTAGATTTCAGAAACAACACACACAATCACGAATCAACTGCAGAAAATAAACGATACAAGATTTAATGTGGTCGGTCGGCAATAGCAACCTACATCCACACGTGCATCAAATGAAATAAACTCCTCGTAGTTGTCCACGAGACGTAGGCTGCATTGGCGATCGAACCATGTTAAGTTTTATGTTGCTTACTTTCTACAGCTCAATTGTGATTGTGTGTGTTGTGTCTGTTGTTTCCACGCATGTTTATCCCAACAATAATTAAGGTTAAAAGTTTAAAATAGCATTTCACGTACAAGAAAATTAAATACTTAAAAAATAAAACATTCGCATTTTAACATGTGCAGTCTTCCCATTTTGAAGTTTGATAAACCCTCTCACAATCCCATCGGGTAGGGGGTGAGGGGCGCCGAGGTGAGTGATTTTGCGTTTTGGAACGAAGTTTGATTATCGGAATCTTCTGGGATAGGGAACTTCTCGAATTTTCTGGGATGCGCCTACCTAGTTAAAAGCTATAGAATTCTTGCTGTAATACCTCGCACCAGCAATGTATATAGTGCCCCAAACGTAAATAACGTCAACAAACACTCGGACAATGCAAAAGTATAGTCCCACAATGATTTGGTCATGCCTCTTCTTAGGAAAATGACAAATTATTAGAATTAGTCCTCCAACAATTGTGGCCCTGCTGCCCAAAATGGAAAAATGAGATATATAGATGGTGTTAGATCAAGTTATCGTATTGTTCGATATAAAAAATATTCAAAACTCAAACTCAACAAAATTTGGATAGGGTTTAAGACAATTTTACGACTGGAGTACTCTAAGTACCCGATGTCATGGTATGACATCAAAACCTAATCTCAAAACAATCTCGGTGCTGTAAAACTTAGACTATTAAAATGGATAGTAAAAACATTATAAAGCTCATAAGTTATAAAACTATGTGAAGACTGAAGTAAAACTAAAATATAAAACGTATATTCAAATAAAAGTTTCATATTTTTATTTCAAAAGTATGAGTGAAAATGCATATATACTACCAATCGTGCCAATATATAATGTTAAAAAGTATGGTAAAATGTTCATACACAGTGCCACATTATTACAATGCAAATTCTAAAACATGGGAATTCTATTTTGGTACTTTTCCTGAATTTTACTTCTATTTAGAGTAATTTCTTTAAAACTATTTGGTTTATTTTCTCAATCATAAGTTTTATACCAAAATCTTAATATTTGACTAAACACTTAATCATGAATTTCCAAAATTACCTTCTTTTTAGGAAAGATGGAGACCAACATGGTGTCTTTAGGGAAATGGTTGAGAAGCGTATAAGACAATGCAAGTTATTTGATTGATAATCATTTACATCCTGTTCTTTTAAATTAGAAAAATTAACCTTCAATTCATTATAATTTTTTTTCTATTTCTTCGAACAATGACTTAAAAAATATATTTATATATGACGAATATACAATAACATTATATATCTAAATTTATTGCATACAATCTCAAACACGACAAGGATGATTTTTTTAAATCTAAAATTATAATTTTCGTACATATTTATTTGGGTGATCATTTCTTTGAGTGACTTTTTAACACTTTAATTTTTTCAACATTTTCCAAGCCCTTACAATTTTTTTCCAATTCGTTCAAGTTTCTTTCATCTCTTTCCAACCAGTTTCTTCCAACTTCCAACTCTGAAATTCTAATCCAAAAGAACATGGCCTTAGACGGTCTCCAACGCAAAAATTCATCCACGCCCGTAGCTGACGTGGTTACCCTGCCCCCTCCTTAAGCGCTGTGCTGCTCCTCCCTCGTTCGTAGGAATTTCTTTTTTCTTTTTTTTGAATTTTTTTTAAAATGAAACTTTTTTCAAATTTTTTTTTTAAAAATAATTTGTTTTATGAAAATAAAATAATAAATAGGGATGTGGAATTTATGAAATTGTATGTCGGAAAGATGAATGTGATAGTGTTGAGGGTAAAAAGTATTTTTTTGGAGAGAATGATCAAAAACCTAATGTGGGATGGTGATTAGGCCTACATGTAAGAATGACGGCTCTCAGCGTTGCAGATAGTCTTACAAGTGTATTGGTCAATATCTCTTCTCATTTTCTTTAATTTCGAATCCATATAAATTTTAATCACAGAAATTTTTATTTTTCTAAAAGACAATTTCAAGTGAATTCACATTTTTAAGAAAGATAGAGTAACACATTAATACATTTATATGGAATAAAATAGATTATGGATATACTCTCTACCATCCAAGATATGGCCAAATAGCACTAGTGCTCACTCGTGGTTTGCAAAATAGAAATCAATATTCTCATGTTTTAAAAACTTATTCTCAAATTCCATGTGGTTTCAAAATGCTGCATCCATATCCTCTAATCATTTTTTCGACTATTTTTACGGCGAAGAAGGGGGTATTAGAGAATATTTTCCAAATCATAGGGAGCATTAGTGCTCATTTCTTATTTTTCATTTATTTTATGTCCCCCTTTCTTTATTTGTTTCATTTATTACTTAAGGCTTTTTTTAAATTTTTTTAAAATTGTTTATAATGTTCTTAAAATTTAAAATTATTTTTGTTTGAAAAAATAACATATACAACATATGTACGTCTCAAATTAACAATTTTTATTTTTTGTTTTCTGAAATGAAAAAGTAAAAACTTTTTCGAGAAATTCAAAAAATGAGGAATAAAATAAGAAATAAAATAAAACAAAAAGTAAAAATGGACGTCCTTTTTGGAAGTCCCAATTCTAAGGACTTTTTTAGGTGTTTCGAAAATTTCTTTTTGTATAAGACTCTTTTTTGCACATTTCGTTGTTTTTCATTTCGTTTTTCATATTTTTTTATTTTTTTAATCTTGGTTTTCTTTTCGAACTTAAGAAAAATATTATTCTAGAAAAATATGAAAATGTTTAATTTGAGATCGATGGAGTATTGTTACGACCGCATCCCAGGGCGAGGGGCATGGCGAACCAGGGACGCAAGCACCGGAGCAAGGCGGCGTAGAAGCACAACCATGCAAGGAGTTACGTTGGGGGTCGAGGGATAGGAGACCCCCGGCGTGGCGAAAGAATTACGAGACTTAATATTTTGATGGTATTTAATTTATTACCTTTGTACTTTAGATTTTCTTTAGGTGAACAAATTATAATCTCCTTCGAGAGTTTTTTTTCGGTTCTTTACCTCGATGTCTTTCTTGAACCGACATGATAGACAATTATTTAACTAGGTTTTGGGGAACCATTATTTAAGGAGGTGTAAACACCCGCATGGGAAGATAATAAGAATATCAACCTCTTTTCTGAAACCCTAATTCTCTCTCCCCTCCCCTTCCTCCGTTTCTCTTCTGCCGCACAAGGCATTCTCCCTTTCCTCATTCTCTTTCTTCCTTTTCTCTTTGCATTCATATGCCTGAAGGTGCTTTAAACCTTCCCTAGTTGATACGTGAGTGTATTTAAATTATGAATTTTTTAAAAACATTATAAAAAATTTAAAAGAAATTTAAATTTTTTATAGGAAAATGAAACAAAGAGATAAAAAAAAGTTAAATTAAAAAGAAAAAAACTAAATAATAGACAAAAAATAAGAAATGAGCATATGTGCCCTTATGATTTAGAAAATATGTATCAATACCGTCCTTTTGCCGGAAAATGATCAGAGGTGGTGTTGATGCAACTTTTTGAAACCACAGGGACTTTAGAAATAAGTTTTAAAAATAGAGGGGTATTGATGTCAATTTTCCAAACTACAAGCGACAGTGGAATTATTTGGCCCCCAAGATATCCAAAAATAATTAAAGTGTACATTTATTTAATTTTTCCATTAAGGAAAAGGATACATCGCTCACGTACAATATCTCTCTTTTGTCAAAACAAATTCCAAACGCCCCAAAATCTGGCTTAGTATTTTCAATTAATTTATAAAATTTATTAATTACTGAGTTGCTCGATACGAAGATTATTTTCTAATTTGCTGTTAATGTGAGGGTTTATTCAACATTGTAGAGCTCGTTATTCTGACCCGACCATGGAAACACACCATAAATCGGACTTACCGGGCCAAAGATACGACTAACGAATTAGGTAACTGGGTTTAAACTTATCCTAATTGGACTAGGAAGTGTAAATTGGACCCTATAACCTCTTTAGTCATATAATAACGGGAGAAAGGCCAAAGTAGGACTAAAACATTGAAAATATAGCAAATAGGACTTTCATGTTTTTATTCCCGAAATAGGACTTACATTACCAAACATGGTCATATACATTACCAAAAAAGTATAGTAATGTGCACATGTACACTGCCACATTACCACATTGCAAAGTCACATTACCACAGTGCAAAGTCCTATTTTGGGGGAAAAACATGAAAGTCCTATTTTGGTACTTTTCTCTATGTTTTAGTCCTATTTAGGGTGATTTCTATATAATAACGCGTTTAGAGAAGGCTTAAGGCACGATACTTCTCTTTTAACGCACGACGCTGCTCCTCTTCCGCTTGTTCATCCGTTCTGCTCTATCTGTTCCGTTCACCGATCCAGAACGACGGTGCATCGCCACTGATTCCGCTGGCCTCACCGTCGATTTCCATCACCGACTTTGTCCTCATCTCCCTCCGTCGTTGCGCATCATTTTGGCCAAACCAGGGGTTGCAGCAGCGACTCTTCTCTCTTCAAACAAAGGTTGAATTCATCGATTTTTGAGGTGAGTCGTGGTTCCTATACCTTTGTGTTAAAATGCATCCCACATTAGAAGTCTAAGAGTAAAATAATCGGTATATAAGCTCTTCACTTGAACTAACGAATGGATTGGATTCAATCTTTTAATGTGGTTCAACTCAAGTGTCTTATTACCCAATCCAGTTGTCCATACACATCCTAAATTCTATCATGGTATTAGAGTAGGTTTTGGCCCACCTCGTTTGTCAAGGTGTCCGTCTAGACGTTCATTCCTAGCGGCCCATTAGTCTTTAGCCTAGTTGTCCGTATGGAGTATGTACCCAACGGCCTGTGGCCCGTTTAACACGATTGCTCGTCTGGAAGTACATACCTAGCGGCTCGTGGTCCCTTAGGTGTTAGCGCTCAAATAAAAAAAATCAAGGGAATGGGAGTTCATTTGCAAGTGGTCAACTGGTTAGATTCAAAATGGCCCGGTTGTCCACTTAAGGGAGAGTGTTAAAGTGCATCCCACATCGGAAGTCCAAGAGTAAAATAATCGGTATATAAGCTCTTGACTTGAACTAACGAATTGATTGGATTCAATCTTTTAATGTGGTTCAACTCAAGTGTCTTATTACCCAATCCAGTTGTCCATACACATCCTAAATTCTATCACTTTGTTACGTTAGTTCATAGATTAGAACTTCTATAGCGTATAATCTTGCAATTTGATTGTGAATTAGGTTGTTTGTGATTGAATTTGTGAAATTGATGTTTGGGGCTGTTTTTCCGTCACCTTTTCCGGCGACCCACCGACGGTGACGACGGTGAACGGCTCGAGTGTTGGGCAGCGGCTTGGGTTAGCTTAATTAGATTCAATTGAAATCAATTAGGTCTAATTGGGTTCAAATGTGTTTAAACGGGTCCAGTTGGGTTTTATTGGGGTATTTGAATTCAATTAAGTGCAATTGGTTCTTATTGGATTGATTTGGGTTGATTAA